TGCATATGAGTATATCAGTTCATACGACAAGAATTGCACATGTGAGTAAATTTACTCATGTGTAAATTAAACTGAGGTATGCAAATCATGTCGTATGAATGGGGTATAAGAAATCTGCGTCTACCCGCAGAATAAACAGAAATTGAGATCCCGCAGAATTATAACCCCGTGGAAAAAAGTACATCTACAGTACTTGATTTAGTGATAGATTACTACCTTTGACTCTAACTTTGATGAAAATAAGAAGAGTTTTGACACAGTAGCTATGTGGTGTGTTCTCTTGTCAGCCTCACCTGCACATCTTCATTGTTACTTCTTGTCAAAAATTTCATTATCTATCTGAGGGTGCAGATGTCAAGTTGCTATGACAACTTCCTTCTTCCACTTTTTTTAGTTGTGCCGAGTGGTTGTGTCTGATAATGAAATCAAGGTAATGAAATTTTCTGACATTTTCACCTCTTTTCTAATTCATGAATCCACCGCTAATGAAAAAAGTCACAAAGAATGCCAACATAGACCAGTTAAAATATTTTCATTTTACAGATACAAAAATGCATGATTAACTGGGGTTATGATTGTAAATTTTTATGTAGTTTAAGGGAAATAGCTTGAAGGTAAATAAAGCAGATTGATTTGTGTGACAATGCTATTTTATAGAATAAACAATAAACAGCTAATATACCATTTTGTAAATCATATATTAATACTGGTATATATGTATGTAGTACATGTATTTGTTTATAGAACTTCATAGTCTGTTTGTATCAGTGCATTCATAGATTAAAGATCCAGAGTTTTACAGAGCTAAATGAATATCCAAGCAAAACAATCCTAAAAAATCACCAATACACATTCAGATTATTGATTTTAACATTCCTTTTTTTGATTGACATGTATTTTACATCAATTTTCATCTTGAAAATGTAAAATGGTCTAAAAATAAACTATTTAATTAAACTAGATGTATCAAAACTAAAAGCCTACATTTTTATTAAGCATGAGATTATTGTTAAGAAATGTACTTATGTTCTTCAGACTTATAGAGAAATGATGAAAGTAAGTCAGCTGATTCCTTAGTCATGTGACTGCAGTCACATGAGTCTGCCATGTGTGCCTAATGTCAACCGATTTTATTCTCACCCAGTTACCAATGAAAACAAAAAAAAATAGCATGAGTAACAAATCAAATGCATGCATGGTAGATAAATTAAAGCTTTTTCCAAACATGGGCCATACAAATTTAGCTGGGTTACTTGTGTTTATTTTACCCAGGAATGGGGTACTTTTGTTTAATTCTGAAACCGAGTAATACAGCAGAACTAGAACCAAACATTTTCTCCAGGGAGCTTAAGGAAATTGGGATACTTTCACTACAGGACACAATCTTTCTTAACATCAAACATCTTAATTCACTCTATGGCTTGGGTGCTTCTTAAAGTGTGGCAAAGCTGCAATTCTAAAACTTTTCCACTTCTTTTTTATGATATAAGCACACAGTATATTTAAAGATCTGAAGCTTTTTACTAAACTTTCAGTGTAAATATTTGAAGGTACTCTATTCTGATAAAAGGAAAAACACTAATTTTTCATTTGTCTTGTGTACAACATATACATTTTATTGCAGACCCATATAATGGTTGCCAGTTTGTGTTTTGTGTTTATATTTATTTGTAGCTTTGTGTTCTGTAATCAGAAGAAATCATTGATTTTGCCTAATGGCATGTCAGCTTTTTGGTTGGTGTAATATGTATATGTATTTACAGCATGCTTCAAGGTTGAGAAAATTTTGTTGTCCTCCCTCAAATGTATATAGTATACATGTAAAACTGTGTAGTTGAGAAAAAATAATTTGTCCTGTATGTTTTATTTATTTCTGATTTGATTCTGATATTATGATTTTAAAATTATTGTTTGATCCTTTACAAAAAACCAGCAACTTATCCTGATATCGCACGCTGGACAAGATTTGGCAGCACTGAGTAGTTATTTCTTTATTTTATTTTTTGATTTAAAGAAATAAAGTCTATAAAATGCAAGTGATTGCGACTTTGAAAAACTGGTAATGAACATACAAATATTTATTGTTTTCAAATACAGCCATTCCCTTTTCAGGATGCATATAATGAGCCAGTCTGACAATTTTTTGTTTGCTTTCCTTTTTCAGATGAATGGTGTGACAAATGGAAGTGACCCTGGCCTTGCCCTACAAGGTTTGACTGTCCAGGGCAGCAATAATAACCCTGATAACAGGCCAGTGGAGGATCCAGCACAAAAGAGGGGCAGGGTAGAATTTTTCTTCTCTCTCTCTCTCTCTCTTACCATTAATTTTAATGTCATTTGCAAAGTTCCCCTGTTCAGAAAAATAGATTTTTTTTAATTATGATTTTTTAACCAAAAAAAAAAAAAAATTAGAGGAAAAAGGTAAAAATCAACTGAAGGTTCTTTCGTATAACATTTACGGAAAACATCAGAAATATAGAGTTATCTCTCATGCATTTGTGTAGTTGTCTGATGTAGTTATTGTTGTATTGTAGCCAGGACAGATAATAGACATCAGGTCTATGATTAATGAAGCCACAAAACTGAATGCAGAAGAGGGGATAGATGGTCAGGTCAGTACTTACACAGATAGCAGTGAGATGACCTTCACTATCATCATCATATTGATTGAAGACATTAAAGAGCTAGAAGGAATTTTTTTTACCTCAAATATTTAATTTCAATTACATATTTACATAATTCAAATGGGAAAGGAATTTATGGAAAAGATCTGTACAACATTTGTGTATTTTCCAGGATCGTCTTTTGAAGCCTCTAGGAGGCTACGTTGGTTATAACAGTGAATGGAGGGAGTTAGCTCAAGTCATAAGTAGGGTAGGTCACAGCTTAATCATACGCTGAAAGATCAATTCATATGGTTTGTGCTATTCCTGAATGTTTCAACCAAGATAAAAGCTTGAAAATATGTTTTTATGTGTTTCATTTCTAACATTTATTCATTTAACCCTTTGTATTACGCAGGATATTTATTCAGAAAATCCCAATGTAAAGTGGGATGATATCATTGGTTTAGAAGAAGCTAAACGATTGGCTAAGGAGGCTGTAGTTTATCCAATTAAAGTGAGACATCATTTTTACACACATGAGTTATGATATATTTCTGTTTTATCTCCTTTTCTAGATAGAAAGTTGAACAACATGTAGTTTTATCCTCTTATTTATTTCAGTATCCCCAGCTGTTTAAAGGTATTCTCTCCCCCTGGAAGGGACTGCTGTTATATGGTCCTCCTGGTAGGTATTTTTTTATGCTCTACTTAAAATATAAGATTAGCTTCATTTGTATGACATTTAATATTATTATCCCTACAAATGGAAATTTGAGAGTATAAATAGGAATTCCTTATCCATCTATTTAATCTTGCCCATAACTCGGTAACAGAAGAACCTTGGAAGGTCATACTTTAGATTGCTTAAGTCTTGATAGTTTAATTGTCCTGACCTTGACCCAGGTCAAGATCAGTGTCACTGACAAACATTGGAAGGGCATATCAGAATGAAAGATTGCTTATGTGTGATACTATTGCATATGATCTGAGGGTATTCTATTTACCAATTCAAAGAGCACTTGCAGGAGTTTTCAAATCATGTCCATTTCTTAATTTTTATTGGGAAAAATTTACAGTTTATACTTAACATTCAGATTATGACCAAAGGGGTCATTTACACAAGGTCATTTACTGATTTTGAAAAATAAAGGTTCACTAAGAAAAAGATACAATTTCTGTCCTGGTCATATCTTGTAATTTTGCCAGGTCATACTTGACACAGAATTTGCATATGGCTCAAGGATGTATCCTAACCTGGAAGGAAATTTAAGTATTTATTTTGAGTCTGGACTGTCAGTTTGCAGAAAGGGGTGCCTCAGAATGTGTGTGTGTCAAAGTGAAGAATTAAGGACCCTCTCTACACAAGTTCAAATTGTTTTTTGGACATTGAGAAAAATATATTGTATAAAGGAGTTAATATTGTGCTTATTTATTTAATTTTCACTATATGGTGCTTGGCATTTACCCCCGGGAAAAATGTTCAAAGACAACACAGTATCAGTGAATAGATATCACTTTTAATTACTTCAATAGAGAAAATACATGTAAATAACACTTTCAGTTAATTTATCTTGACCTTTGAAAATGTTAAGAATACTTGAATTAATTACAAATTGAGTAATATATTATAAAGGAGTATATATGATAAGAGCCAATTTTGGCCCCATAAAGATCAACATTTTAGAATGACATTCAGATATGTTTTATTGATATTTATTTTGTAGAAGAGATTATATTAGAAATATTTCCAATATATTTTTCACGTTTATATGAACTCACTAGCTGTAAATGACATGTGAAATAATGGGTTTTTTTGCTATCTAATAAAAAAGCCAAAAATATGCCTTTTTCTTGATGTTTTTTCTTATGGGAAACATAGAGTGCAGTGTAGAACATACATGATTTTTCTGTCACTAATTAGTATTGGATAGATACATCTTTGGTAAAAATATAAAGCATGTTCTAGGCTGCGCTCTATATTTTCTGGAAGAAAAACTGCTTGAAAATAAGCAGTTTTATACAAATTATGCTAAAATGGCGGGAAAACGTGATATTTATGATGTCATATTTCTAAAAGAACGGCATTTATCAAAACGAAAATGACCAATAAAGGTCGCATATATAGCTGTACAAATTATAGCTATATATGAAGTAAAATTAAGATATTCATTTTAAGGGGCCAATTGAGACACTTACCATATATCGCTCTTTCTATTTTTTAGAATTTATTTTTAAGGGCAGATCACTCTAACTGCAGAAAAATACTTTAAAATCAGAACTCTTTAGTGTGCAGTGTAGAGAGGGTTCTTAACCAATGTCGTAATAATACATTTTGAAAGTACATGAACAGTGTTTATTTTTTTGTTGCATTCAATAACAACCTCATATATATTTAATATGTATCTCTTTATTTCAGGTACAGGGAAGACCCTGCTTGCCAAAGCAATAGCCACAGAGTGTAATACAACATTCTTCAATATATCAGCCTCCAGTATAGTCAGTAAGTGGAGGGGCGACTCCGAAAAACTAGTCAGGGTAAGGTCCATTGTCAGTTCTGAACAAAATTTTGTGCATTTGTCCATTCATCAGCTGTCTTCAATCTATACCATTTTATGATGGAAAAAGTATCATGATCAGAACATGTTTCATACTAATAGTAAAAAAGACCTTTAAAAGTTTGTGCTTAAAACAGTGACCAGAGACTGTATCATGTATTTTGTCTATGAGTGTTAATGACAAAGTCATTGAAATGTGTATTTGAGTTATTCCATGCACACTCATCTGTTCATGATAATTAGGCAAAATTTGATAAGTACATGCCTAAAAGTGATACGTGTGTTGTTCTTGTTTGTTTGTAGGTGCTATTTGAAATGGCTAGATTCTATGCTCCGTCTACAATCTTCTTGGATGAGCTAGAGGCCATCATGAGTCAAAGGGGATCACAGGGAGGGAGTGGGTAAGTCCTCAGAAAATTACACCACAGGAACTCATGTCTGATACACAGTCCAACAGGTTATAAGTGATAGTGAGAAGATTTTGATCATTGCAATGTTACTGAAATTCTTAAGGTTTGTCACACATTATTTATTTTAACAGGGAGCATGAGGGAAGTAGGAGAATGAAAACTGAATTATTGGTGCAGATGGATGGCTTAGCCAAAACAGATGACTTAGTCTTTCTTTTAGCAGCTTCTAATTTACCCTGGTATGTGTTTACCTGTCACATTTGATTTTTCTTCTCACATAAGTAATGGATAATAATATGTAAACTTTCTTTTCATACAGGGAGTTGGATCAAGCCATGCTTCGTCGTTTGGAGAAGAGAATTATTGTTGACCTTCCAACATACGAAGCAAGGAAAGCCATGTTTAAACATCACCTCCCCACTGTTGTTGTGCCAAAGGAAGGGGGTTTAGAATTACTGAGCAATCTGGATTATGATCTCCTAGCAACAGTATGTGTTGTTTTGATATCCTGACAACAGTTTAGCTTGTTTTTACATTCTGACAACAGTAAAGAATGTCTTGATATCCTGATAGCAGTATGTTGTTTTGATATCCTGACAACAGTAAATGTTGGTTTCACATCCTAGCAATAATATATGACATCGAATTTTTAGCTTTCAAAATATTTAATGCTTAAAGTATTTTGACTAATTTGTGCCTACAAGAAATGATATAGCTATATTTTATGTTTAGGATAGCTAACCTTTACAACTGCTTTATTATTTGCAGAAGACAGAGGGGTATTCAGGCTCAGATTTGAGATTAGTTTCTAAAGAGGCAGCCATGAGACCGGTCCGGAAAATCTTTGATGCCCTGGAAAAAAATGATCATGGTATGATATCAAGATTTTATAAAATATTGCACACTATCATCAATGAAAGTGCAAGCTTTTTTGAAAATTCTTTTGGTTCTAGAGGTCAAAGACCAGAAAAAGATTTTGAGGTCATAAGGTGTCCATCTCCCTGTCCCTTGTTAATCACAGTCAGATTTCATTAAAACTTATTTATTAGTGTCGTCATATGATCAAGTTCAAGAGCAACTTTCCTCTTCTTTGTTATAAACAAGTAGAGCTACATTCTCAACAGAGACTTCTGGTACTTATTCCTAACCAATATAATTCCAGGTGACCTTCACATTCGACTTGACACAATTACAACATCTGACGTCATGAGAGCTATAGACAGAACCAAACCCTCAGCAGGCAAGATGAAGGAGCGGTACGCAGCATGGCAACGAGAGTACGAGTCCGTATAGGAAGAGACTGTGTGCTCGTGATGTGTGCCTGTGTAAGAGTGACTATGTGCTGGTGCCCACGGATTCGGATGACAGAGCTTGACTGACAGAGAGAATGTACAAAGCATCAGTGGAGATGGATATCCTTCCAAATATTGCTGTGTTTATCAAATGGTGCAAAATAATGTAGAAAATCTCAGAAAATGTCTGTGATAGTTTAACATTGATTCTATTTTTGTACAAAGCACCTTTATTTTTATTCTCCACTTGCATAGTTAAGTACTGCAGAGCTGTCATTTACCTGACAGTAACACTCATATTGTTGGTATTTTTATTTATGGTGATGTTCATCTCTTCTGTACTTTCTAGTCATATTTAGATGTTTTCATACAGCATCTAGAAAATATAGCAATTATTCTACTGAAAAGCCAGTTGTGCATTGGAAACATATATAGTGTCTTTTAAAAACATGTTTCCTTTTACAAATGTTTCCTAAATTTTCAAATTTTTAAGCTTTTTTAAAGGTAAATTTTAGTTAATAATGATGTACTTTGGCAGTAATTGTATAAACATTAATACATGAGCAGGACATTTACAGAAAGGTGTTTATGTGGTTTTACAGCAAGTTCTTCTATTCATTTTCAGGTGTTATGCATGATCCTTGAAGGTCTTCATAATAATTATTTATGAAGTTTTTGTTTACGTTATCTTGTGTAATGTATAATTTCTTTGTACAGTGTATCATGATATATTTATAGAGTCAAAAAGTTGCAAAATTACAGACCATATAGTCAAAAATTGTCATTCTTTGCATAAACAATTCCTTACACATGAATTTACATCAAAGACCTACCAATGTAATAAAATGGCAGAAAAAATTTGTGTAGACCTGATATTGAAGATTTTTTATGTTCAACCCCATTTACACAAATTTGCATCTCTGTTGACATTTTTTTATGAATAGCCAGGGTTGATGTGTATTTCTTTGATTATTTTCTGTACAATTGAGAGGCTGGTTAAGACATGCATACATGTATACTTGTGTTGTTAAAGTTTCAACTATTCAATGTACATAAGCACTCAGTGCTTCATATTCCTTATTTATTAAGGAGTCCATGTGTTTGTAACAATAAATCATGTTTTGGTGTGTGGGTATTGTGTTCCAGTGTATAACAGTAGTACACACCACTAGTGTTTACCAGTATTATAGAAGTGAGGCTTGCCTTTAGTTAAGTATACATGTTTTTCCTATTGTGGTTGTTGGGTACTTGTATATATTATATCTGTAGTATCCATAATGTGTGTAATTGTGTGTGGCCTTTCTGTTTGCTGATTATAATTTATAGGTACATTATTTATAGGCTATATATTAAAGTTATATATCTGTGAAGAAAATTATATGACATCCGTCCACAGTATTAGTTTTTATATAGTTTTATATACATGCTGCTGAATCTAGTTCTGTTTTATGTTTTTGGTGAGGTACAGTAAGTTAATTATAAATGGCAGAAAGATCTCACTGAACAGATAAATTTTAAGCAGATTTTTAGTGCAATGTTCCTGGTGTGACGTATGTTGCTATAAATTCAAACTATCTACATGTAAATGTTAGGCAGAATCAATGAATCAATTCTGCAAGGAAATGTTTACATTGCACTCCCACATGCAACTCTGATGCATTGTTCACCAGTCTGATAGTGGCTTCACTTATTATCTGCACATAGTTCTTAAAAACTCAAAATCAAAACAAAAACAGAAAAAAAACAAAGCTGAGGCATTATAATTTATTACCTATCAGAAGTGCTCATGTTGGGTTGACTTGTTCACTTGACACACAGTGTTATATTTTACCTGTGATTGTATGTATTGTTTGTGTGAGAGAGATCAATGTTACAAACATTTGAGAAAAAACTCTATACAATAAAGTAATTTTTGTCAACACAAGCTTTTATTTATTAAAATGACATGACATCAAGCATGTTGTTTTACAATCTTGACTAAAATCGGATGTCTTTGATATCTATCCTGTTGAACGCTGTACTCTGCATTGGTTATTCCCTGCTATTTGATCCTGTTTTTGATTGACAGTATACAATTAAAGTATATCATTGAGGGAGTCAGCAAGATTCCAGTTCCCCAAGAGCAAGTCTATTTGCCGGGGCGCTTGTTTTATAAACAATTTCCACTGTTACAAAGTTACATGATCTGTGGATAGCTCTCAGTGCACATTAGTTTACAAGGATGACGTCACAATAACAATAGTGTAGTCAAATTATCAAATTTTCCATCAAAATGGAAACTAATTGCAACAGTTTCAAAACTTAGTTTTAATCAATCTATGCTATGATCTTATTATATAACAAAAAGTTTAGAAAAATTCATACATGGGAAAATTGTAAAATTGAGGTCATTATTGGGACGTATTGTGTTCACTCTGATTAAGTGTCAAACGAACGATGTAAAGTTCTACTTCCATACTGGTTTAAAAAAAACAACTCGTAAGTAGTGAAATAAACTTAACTGAATAAACTGAATTGGAAAAATATTAAATTTTGGTTACTATATGTGTTGGTTGCCATGGAAACGGTATAAATTGAGAATGTCACTTACTTTTGAACAATGAACCTTAACAAACACGAATACAGTCACTACGTTAGTTTACACACATACTCAAAATGCATTCTTTTGCCATAAATGCTTCAAAGAAATTATTTAGAAGATTTATGTAAATAGGTGGTAACCATGGATATATTATAAACGAATTTATCATGAAGAAAAATCTCTGTATTCAGCAATGCTAAGTATAGCACGAATGTACTCAATCACCAACAGTTAAGAAACAATAAAATGCTTTAATTAATATGAAAGGTAATATCCAAAAATGATTAGAAGCAGATTTGGAGGAGAATGTCGCTGTCAGGGGACATCCCCCAATAATTTTTTTTTATGAAAAATTTGCGGAAAATCCCCCCCCCCCCCCCCCCCAAAAAAAAACCCTGAATCCCTCCTCTAACTGAAAGGTTTTCCACGTATATGAAGAAAATTGTGGGAAGATCTCACAGAATCCCCCTCCCCGAAATAGATTTATATGTTTTTATTCTGGTTTAGGTAGGTTGTTAAATTTTTATGTCAAAACTTACTTACTTACTTATAGGGATGGGTATCGCCAAAAATTTCGTATCGCGATTTATCACGATATTTTTCCACAATAACACGATAATATCATGATATTTTTAAAAAATTCTTTACAATGATTTTATATTAAAAGTCATTATTTTTCTAAAAAAAATATGCTAGAAAATCAAAATTTTACTTTCTTGAAATTTGTATGTGTATAAAATCAATTATGTTTGGACGGTAAAATGCGGTTCTTAATTTCACTTTTTACAACATTTTTTATACTTTCTGTAATTGTAATTTGAAAGATTGAACAAATAAATGAATAATTTCTGGACTTTATAATATGTACCTAAAGACCGGTATTTAGGTCTCCGTATCACGATACGTATCACGCAACAAAAAATCGCGATATACCGGTATACCGATAAAATCGCACATCCCTACTTACTTATCCTCTCCGTGCCCCGGAGGACGCATGAGGCCGTTTTATGTCAAAAAATATTCTTAAATCTGAATTTTTTTACGCACAGCAAAGCTGATCCCCATAGATTACATAATAGTTGTGTTGTCCACCTTTCAGAAAATTTTCTTTCAACTTTTGACACCAGTTTTGAGTCTCTGTAATGTGATTGGTTGGTAACTTGTATAAAATGCTCAGAAAAAAAAAAATACTCTGTATACATCAGTATCATAAAATACTTGTACACTATGATGAGTATGATGGTTCTTGCTTGATCAGAACTTGAACCCACCCCTACAGGGTATTTCTTGTCATGAGTTTAACAAAAATGCTATCTTACTCACATCAAGTGGATCAATACATTTTTTTACCCTCCATATAATGAAACCACGCCCTCCGGTGTGATAAGAACATAACAACATTTAATGATGCTTCCTGGATGGTGATATTTCAAAAAATATTTCAAGACTTTTTCAGTGCCACAGTAACCCTCAATATATGCAATAATATGAAGATAAGACACGTTTTACCATAAAATTTGAAATTGTTATCCCTTGAAAATGATCATTGTTGACCAAGATGTAGCCGAATCAACAGTAATTTAATTGCATTTAGAACAAAATATCGTGAAATGTGAGGGCAAAGGTGCTGCGCAGTTAATAATTATTATTTTGTTACCCTTCTTTTAAAATCTTAATGTATTTCAAACTGTTGCTATGTAATGTTACTTGAAGAGGGTGGGGGTAATTGAAAGCACACAGTAGATTATTTTATTCTTATTGATAAAAAAATCTAAAGTCAAAAGCACTTACACAAATGAAATCAAGTAAAAGAGAGCAAGCCAAGTATTTGTTTCAAGAAAGAATTAATTCTTAAACTTTCTTGGTAGATATTGGTTGTCAATTTTTACTTGTTCAAATTCATATGTAAAAGTATTATTGATGTTTGTTATATATTTTTCCTAAATATTTTTATCATAACAGTTATAGAAATTGTTAGACTTTAGCTTTAATCTAGGAATTCACCCGCATGGTGCAGTGGTTAGAGCATCTGCTCTAGAGTTGCGAAGTAAGGAGTCGATCAATCCTTACATTGCGGGTTCGAATCCCACTGTGGGACGTGGAGAACGGTCCTTCAGATAAGACCGTATAAACCGAGGTCGCGTGTCGCTGTAGGCACTGGCGCGAAAAAGATTCCTCACTGCTTGGCCCTAAGTGCTGGGTATAGAACTTTGCAGCTCTCCACCGGCAAGTGGTGGCGTCTCCATATATGCATGAAAAGTTCTCGAGAGGGACGTTAAACAAAATACAATCATAGTAGAAAGATTCATGTCCATCTACTTTTCTTTTTTCAATGTTGCTCTTATTAAGAAGTGACTTTGAAAGTGTTCCAGATTGTTTACATTCTAAAGGAATGCATCTCATGGGAATGCATTTATCACCAGTCGCCACAAAATGGCGCTTCAATAAGTGCCGCATCAGGCATTTGTCTGTCTGTCTGTCTGTCCGTCTGTCTGTAAACAATTTTTCAAAATGCTACTCCTCCTACAGTTTTGGTCTGTTGCAAAAGTGACCACATAATCTACAAGAAGAAGTTAAGTTTTTAAAAATGGGTTCAATATATTTTGTTAAAAGTTACATTAAGAATTTTGAAAAAGAGCATTTAAGCATTTAAATCCGTCTAAATGACTCCATTTGAATTGTTTCCATTACTATAAACATACTGCAGCTCTTGTACATGTATACATGTAGATGGTGCAGTCATTGTAAAGAAAAAGCTCAATATCAATTGTTATTTTATATAAGGTTTTGTTACTGTTTACAAAAGCAATCAGCAGTAATTTGGAAAGCAAAAAATTGTTTGAATCACACAGTTCAAATTCAAGTTCCGGAGATGCTTGA